TTAGCCTAAATATTTTAAACTTAACTTACTTTCTAGTATTTCAACGCTCAGACTTAAACTTTTGCTGTTGATATATGTATGTTTTGTATGCATTTATTTAATAAACCAATTATATACTACATATGCATGAATAAAAATTAATCTTTTGTTCGCTCCGTAACACTTGCTGGCATGGTCAGTGTTGTTTCTTTTAAATTCTTTATATATATATTTTTTTTTTTGAAACACTAAACTGAAGTTACGTACCATAATAAATATCTGTTTTGAAGACACCACCCTACTTATAATATTTTTATTTATATTTACGAGCAATGTGCTTTATACATTTACTACAATAACTTTCATAAATCTATAATTCTTATTTTCAAAATACGCGAAACTTCCATACGACTTTTTATCATCGCAATCAATTTCCAAATTCCACTCCGGGCCTTCGTTAGTTAATTTCCATTGTACGGACTACCATTCGCTAAATATTATTTTTTGTTTTCCTTTGTTTTTGACATTCTAGTTTATAGCAATATTTTACAATTTCTCATTTTTATTTATAGATTTCTTATATTAATTAAACCCTATTTGCAGTTTCACTCCGATTTTCTTAACTTTACATATTCCAAGCATTCATTATCTCAAACACTCTGCAATCAATTATGTATATTTAACTATGCAATTACGTGTATAATCGCATAAAATTAAGCCGAATATTTATTATATGTTTTTTTAAATTTTTTTAAATTTTACCAAAAAATATCAGAATACGCAAACTCAAAAATCGTTATTTTAAAAACAATTATCATAAAAGCTAAGGCGAATTTATATAAGGTGGTGTCTAGTAGACAAGGAGAATTTATACAATGTGATGTTCGCAGAACAAAAACAAAAATTAAAAAAAAACAAATTATACGTTCATTGACAATCAGTACAAAACAAAATTACAACAAATACATAATTTTGACAAAAGGTAAAAATTCGCCATGAAATCAGCGGCTCCGGTAACATCACTTTGTATAGATTCGCCTTGGCTACTAGATCAGCTGATTTTGTGTGTATGTTTCGCCTCACCGCTAAGAATGCAAAAATTGAAATATTTTGTTCACATTTATGCACACACTCTTACAGATTTTGGCAGTTCACGCCGCAAAAACAAAATATATGTAAATTTACTAGTGTTCTCACCTTACATGAATTCACCTTGGATCCTAAAGCGAAGTGCACATTAGCAACACAAAAACTTGACCGAATGCCGTATTAACAAGTACGGTGTAAAGATCCCTATTGAAATCGTGTTGCGCAACCGTTTCCTAAATTTCAAAACATATTAGAGGTCTCCACAGTAATTTCGGTAGTTAAAGACCTGTCTCCACCGGAACACACTCACCATCATTGCGAGAGTCGTGTCGAATGCAAGTCGTTTTTCGAGAGTTGAATCGTATCGAAAATTTCACGTCATTGGCTAAAATTTCCACTAGACTAGTGTATTAAAACGGAAAAACTTGGCAGCACTGTATAGTTTTCGACAAATTTCGTCGTTTACTTTTTTCAGCACGACAGTAAACAATGCCAATGTTGTCGAGTCGTACAACTTAGCCTAATTTACGACTTACGCAATGAGGCTGACTGATGTTGTTATAATCACGTAAAAAATATATTGCCAATCGAGCCCGCTTATTGGCAGAGCTTATTGCTTGGTATCTATTGCAGGTAATCTGGTAGTTTGATAATCATATTTTCATTTGAAAGAAAGCTTGTTGGTGGTAACATTTATGAAATTTTGATAATAAATTTAAATAAGAAGCTAAATTATTTATAATTACGTTTTAGGAAATTATTCAGCAAGTTTTAGAGGTTTTAAATGTTTTAAAAAATTAAAATAGAGAGAATGTTCTCTGGTGGTGTCATGTGACAAATGCTTATATCACGACATAAAAACGATGTTTGCCTGTGTAGTTCTGAGGTTAGGTAAACTGCTACTGATTGTCCTTTTCAACTTACTTTTGCATGACTGTTAAATTGTGTTTATCAACAGCTGATTTGTAGCATTTTCTTATAAAAAAAAAAGTTGTAACAGAAAATTTAATGAATTTTACTTAGCCCTATGCTTTAAAATTTAATAAATACCGAACAGTTGATTGCAATTTACCCACTACCAGAAAACTTATTAAGCCCGACACCACGATAATTCGATAATCGACAAACCGACAACAAAATAATTTTACACAAACAAAATACTTGACAAAAAACTACTGAGTAACGAGTAACGAAGTATCAAGGTCGGTGTGAAGACCCCCATTAATATTTATATTGCTTGTCGCAATCGTTGCCCTGTGTGTAGTCTGCATAAGTTTCTTTCATCTATTAGGCTGCATTTATATGGGTTGATTTTCAAGGTGATTCAACATTGCTCAACGAAAATCACTCGTGTAAATGGCGAATTAAAAATCGGTTGCGTCAAAGTAGATTATCGCCTCATGTAAATGCATATTTATGCTACTCTAGTTAAAAAATTGAAGTTATTTTAAAACATCGTCCATTATAATTAAAAAATGCTTAAAATAATAAAATTATGAGACAAAAAGACATTTGTGCAAAAAAAAAAAATCAAACACAAAATTTCCATTAAAATGGGTTCATTTTATTTGAAAAGTTATAGGTAATATTTTTTTTACAGAACCATAGGTATATGTACATTAACTTAAAATATAAAAAAAATATTTAACTTAAATTTTCTTAATATAGAACTTAAAATTATTAAGGCAAAGTATTGCTTAAGAACATTAAGGACGTCGTATTGAATGTTTTATTATGCCGAAATTCACTGAACATTAAATAACCAAAAAATTTATTGACGAATTAGGTCATAAAAAACGTTGCCGGTGCGTTAAAATAAAAGCCATTAAACATGTGGAAACATACCATTTTTTAATAATAAAAAACGGTTGGTTATTTTCGTAATTTCAATGGCTAGTAAAGATTCGGCCGTTAGAAACAAATTGGGCAAGCTTTGTAAAAAAGTATTAAAGCAAAAATTAAAATTTTTTTGGTTAAATCAATGAGGAAAACATAATGCTTCTTGACTTTTACCATAGAGTTAAATTTACAAAAACTAAACTATACTTAGAATGTCTTTAAGAAAAAATTTGTATTAAAAAGACTTGAAAAGACTTGTTTTTAGCAAAAATACTCCGACCAAAAAAAATTTTATTAAATAAGATTCAAGATTCATGAAAAAAATACCCCAAGAAAATCAAATGACAGCTTATATGTACATATACTTTCAGTAAAATTTAGAAAATAGTAAATTAAAATGCCGCTGTTTTGTTGAAAGATGTTTTTAAAACTTATTATTATTAAAAATATTTTACATAAACTGTCTAACATACTTATTGCAATTTACAAATAAATGTCCACTTTTGACAGCACTCTAGGAAAAATTCTTCAAGTGTTCTTCATGATCCATGTAATAAATTAAAAATTATTATAAAAAAAAAATATATTTTTTAATATATTTTTGTGTGCTTAATCTATAAAATGCTGCTAATTATAATTTCACTTATGCCGGATTTCAACTGGGCATTAAATGACTACAAATTTTGAATGATATTAAATTAAAAATAAAAATCATCTATGCTGAACTTCCCTTTGGCAACAAAATGGCGAAACATTTTTTACCATGGCATAAATGGTATTTGGAAACAGACTTTTATTTTCGCGTAATTTTAACGAAACGTTTTTGTAATAACAAATTTGTCATATTTTTTTTTTTGTCTTTTAATGTCCGGTGGAAATCCGACATAAGTCTGTTTACATGCCTTTTGCTTAATGATATAAAATTTTTCTTCATTTTTGTTATTCAATATCTGTGAAAATTCGACATTATGCTGAACTTCCACTAGGCATTGAAATGAGAAAAATTTGTGTCATTTAAAAAATGCCATGTGGAAATAAACTTTATGACTGACAAAAATATTCTTTAATGCAAAATTTTCTCGTAACAATTTCTGTAATTTAATGCCAAGTGGAAATCGAGCATTACACAAAATTGCTATCACTTTATATAATAAAAATTGTGTAACGCAAAAAAGTATATTTATTAAAAATAATGCCATCTTTAGTATTTGTGTACAAAAAACCAAAAATAAAAGTTAATAACTCAAAATTGCTAAAACAAACTTCCTCACTAAAACAAACTAGTTCCTTCTAGTTACTGCTACAACTCACTATTATTTATTGCATTTTTTTTGTTTGTTAAAGATATTCTAGTTAATTTTCTATTTCCTTTTGTTTTTATTTCTACTCTTGTATTCTCTCTACCTTTACAAAATCTTATCGGTTTCATTTCAAGTCCTTACAAAGTGATTGTAGCGGAAGAGCTGCCTGGTCGTTGTTTGTTGTTTGTTTTTTTTTTTTTTTGTAATTTATTGATGAATTATGAGATTGGATTGGTTGTTGGGTGAATATAGAGGGTGCCATATTTGTTCGTTTATGTTTTTATGGAGTTTGGTAGTCAGAAAATATAATTTTGTATTAAAAAAAATGGTGACTTAAACTTCAAAAATTATTTCAAAATAGATTAGATAAAATGTGAAAATTTTTGCATCTATTTTAATTTTACTTTCACACAAATTTGTAAAAGATATTCAACTTTTTAATCTTATAAAAAATAATGCACTGCTAATGTTTATAAATAAACTTGCTGACTTTTGTTATGAGATTCAAAAGGTTAAAAATAATGTTAGTTGCTGCCATAGTTATTTAATTGCCTTTAATTAATTTTTTTTAAATTAATTTGTGTTAGTTTTTAGGTAAAAAAAAATGCTTAAAAAAAGCATAAAACAATATTTTTAATTGCTTTGTAAGTACATGGTAAAACTAAATTAACTTATAGGACACAATGATCGCTAGTTTAAATTTGCAATTCGCTTGAATTTCAGAAAATTAGGAATTGAGAAATTTTTTTTTTACATAAAAATTTCCGCCCAATACCAAAAGCGCGCACAATCAAAAAAAAAAAAAAAATCAAACACTTTTTCTCTTTTGTAAAATTACTCAGCATAAAAATACATGATATATTTTCTAAAAAAAAACCGAGCCTTTTTGTCATAATTGTACATTTAAAATTTCACCTACCTTAGTTCGATTGCTATGATATTTTTTTGCATACATGCATTTTGACTTTTACTATACTCATTTTCACAAAAAAATAAAAAATAAAATTAAGCATTTAGTACAGTTCGAATTGTAATTATTTCAAGTTGCAGATTTAACTATTTGTACAGCTAATGCATTGAATTAATTATTTAGTAAATGTTACTGATTAATTTAATCAATTTAATGCATAACAGTCTTTTTAGTTCACAAACAACTTAAAAGACAAATGTGGCTGTGTTTAGTAGTCAGCCATTAGCTGACTAACTGATCCTAAGTTTTCCAAATAACCCAATGGTTTTGAGTTTACATACGAATTAACACGCACTACAGCTGCTTGAATTTTAACAATAATTTTTACTTAACTTAGCATGATTACCATTCAACAACTACATATGTACATAAGTAACTTAAAGCTAAGCATACAATTAGGCGTCTAAATAATAAATACGACTACATTCATACTTATGTAGTATTTCGTAAATTATTTGTTCTTTTCCGCTAACACTCTTTGTGCTTAAAAACTAAGCAATTTAACTTAGCATTTAATGAATACAATAGCGATACGTATTGTTCTCGTTTTTTTTGTTGTTTGATGCTCAATGATTTTGATAAATCATTTTTAATACAGTTGAAATAATTGCGAAGTAGCCGGGTAGATGGAGCTCTTAGCTCTCCTTGGTTAAAGTGTGCTTAGTTGCATATCTGTGGCAGCTTTTTAGGCATTTCGGCAAACGAAAATAACGCTTTCACACTCAGGATGAGATGTACGTATTCAGCAGTTTTTCAAACTAAAATTGACTTTAGATTTGTGGGATTTTGATTTTTCTTTAGCATAATAGCATATTTTGTGGCGCATTGAACATATACATATGCATGTGTGTATAATATGCTGTGGATGAGCTAAATAAGCTGGTTAACAAATTAATTGGTGTAGTTGTCGAAGGAGCCGAGATACTCGAGCGCGGCGCGATAACAGAAGTGATATTGGTCCTGGAATTGAAGAAATACGAGGATTAGTAAAGTATTCAGTTTTGTATATTTTAAAACCTTAACTAAATACACTGAAAAGAGCGTCAAAACAAATTAAATACAAGAATGCGAGCAATCTTAACTTGCACTTTCTGAGTTAACTGGGCCAGAGTTAACTGGGCCAAATCTGAATAGATCCATCTCATCTGCTAGTTTATGATCTCCTGATACCTTTACTTCTGCTATCTGGGATATTTGTGCGGAAAAAACAAGGTCGCAGAGCTTCATTATAAATCCTCGAAATCTCAACCAATAAAAAAAATTAGTGTCAATTGAAAGACATTTTGCTACAATGGCACTTTAGGTAAAGGTTTTTCTGAAATAGTAGACTTGCTATTACCCAGCACCTCCCTAGGTAGCACCCGCTAAGCGATGCTCTTTCATACCCATACCGGCGCAACCGTTCCGCATTTGGCTTAACAACTCGATTTCTATGTCGGACGGACGGCACACTTTTCGCTGGTATATGTTCGCCTGGGTAGAAATTGGTAATTTTTCTGGCACGAAATTGGGTATATCTGGCGAAGTTCCAAACCGATTTGTAGGATCGAGGTGTCAAACGAAAGTGCACCCTATAGCGGTGGGAACATTAAAGTATGTATGTAAGGAGTGTAGATTTGCGCTTTCTGAGATATCTGAGCTGCGAGGACCTACTATGTCACAGACACTTCGCGATAACTCTTCCAAATCTGAACAGATTTAACGTAGGTTGTCAGGGGAAAGTTAAAGGAGAAAAAATCCTAAATAACTATTTGTTGTTGCTAATTTTTATGAACTTCTTTTAGATTTTAAAATTTCGGGTAATTTTTTTAAATTTGGAATGTTTCTTTTAAATTTTTATAAAACATCTTGCCTACAGTCTTTTTTTTTTAATTTTAGGCTATTTGTTACGGTCTATTTTATTTTGTTTTATTTATTCTGTTATTTTTATTTTGATTCATTTTGTTTTATTCAATTTAATGTAATATAATTTAATGTATTTTTTTTGTCTTAATTTAATTTGTTTCATTTTATTTTATTTCATTTTACTTTGTTTTAATTTATTTTGTTAAATTAAAGTTTTTATTTGTATTTTTTTAGTTTATTTTATTTTACTTTTATTTTTATTTTTATTTTTATTTTTGTTTTTATGTGCGTTTAATTTTTTGTAGTTGTATTTTATTTTATTCTATTTTGTTTTAATTAATTAATTTTTTTTTTTAATTTTATTTCGGGTAAAATTTTGAAATTTGAAATGTTTTTTTTAGCTTTATTAAAACATCTTTTCGTTGTCTTTTTTAGGCAATTCTTTTCTATACTTTTCTGATCTTTTTTATTTTATTTTGCTTCATTTTACTTTGTTCTATTTTATTTTTTATTTTTTATTTAATCTATTTTATTGTTATTTTATCATTTTATTTTAATTAGTTTATTTTAGTTTAATTTAAGTAAATTTTATTTTTATTCATTAAATTTTTTATTTGTATTTAATTAATTTTATGTTTATTTGTATTTATTTTTTGTTGTTATATTTTCTTCTATTTTGTTTTGCTTTACTTTATTTTATTTCGGGTAAAAGTTTTAACTTGGGAGTTTTCTTTTTTAGTGTTATTAAAACATCTTAAATTTTTTTATTTTATGCTCTTCTTTTCTAGTATATTGTACTCTATTTAATGTTATTATTTAATTTAATTTTTTTAATTTTATCATGACTTACCTTATTTTCGTAGGTTTTTTTTTTAATTTTGTTGTGCTTTGTTTTATTGTGTTATTATATTAATTGAACTGAATTTGAATTATATTTATTTTCGTTTTATTACATTTTTTGTTTATTTTTTTATTCTATTTTATTTGACTTTACTTAATTTATTAAGTTTTTTAATCGTTATTTTGTTATTGTTTTGTTTTGTCTTATTTTATTTAGTTTTAATTGATTTGATTTGATTTCATTTTTTTGATTTATTGATTGATTTATATAATTCTTTTTTAATTCTCACTTTGTTTTGTTTTATTTTATTTTATTTTGCTTTATTTTATTTTACTTAAATAAAAAATTGCATTTAAATTTTTGTAGCTCAACTTTTTTACAACACGTTTTCACCACTCATCCATGCTCACCTCTGTTTGCACCATGGCTGGCCGTTGAGCTCGTAGTATGCGTACGGTTTGGAACACATCCAATACACCTTCATATTGCATACGCTCCAGTACAATGCTGAGTGTTATAAAGACGCCAGTACGACCCACACCGGCACTACAATGTACCGTAATCGGTCCATCTTGACCGAACTGTTCTTTTGTCTTATGCACTTGACCGATGAAATCAATAAAGCCTTCTCCAGACTTAGGTACACCTTGTTCGGGCCAGTCGATAAATTGAAATTGTCGAACTGTACGCGAGGAGCCATCACGTGCGTCGGTCACCTAAAGAAGAAAAGATATTCGGAGAGAATATGTTGGGGACATTTTAGACATATATGTATGTATGTAGATAAAAGTTCCAGAATAATTTAAGTTGAGCTTAAGAATCTTCGACTTACCTTGAACTCCCGAAGTTTATATTGTGGCATATTGTATTCGGCAATCGGATCCACCACATAATACTGATAGCGTACAGAACGTTCGTGTGGCCAGTACTGGTAGCATTTTTCCTGCAGGCAATTTTGAAAAAGAATTAGATTTAAAATGACATTTAAAGAACTTGCTCGGCTCTCAATTAATCTCCACCCGTACACCCCAAATGTATTTACTTGCAAATTTCAAAATTTCCAACTTACTCTTCCCATCTCTTTGAGCTTGGTCAGCATGACGACAATCGTTGAATTGTGTTCCCACAGCATTCGCCAGAAGTCTTCGGCTGTATCCTGTACTGGGCCCTGAGCGGCTATGTAAGCCGACCGATAGCGATAGCCATCAATAAAGCTTGCATTGATGTAGTCGCTACCCTCGATGCCGTGTATGGGTGTTAGATAGACACGACTCGATTCGTAGGGTAGTATGTGCACCAAGCGGTTCTTATTCTTGTTGCATGGCAAATTGGCGGTGACGAATTTCGACGAGTCCACTTTAACATTCGAAAGCTTTTTGAATTCCATTTCCATGCCAGTTATATTCTCACCCGGCTCGGTTACCAACAACTTTTGTAGGTGGGTGTGCAAGTTGCGTGCTGGTACCTCTGTGTGACCGCAAATAATTGCCTCCAGGACGGCATCATGTATGAAAATGTATTGATCCTCGGTTTGCACCATGTAGTTGCGTTGTGCGCGTAAACAAGTCACATGCCCGTATATGTCAATGATCTTTTCGTGTTTCATGCGTTCCAACATCGAATCGATAACAATGTAACAACCTGTACGTCCAACACCAGCCGAGCAGTGCACCACAACGGGACCAGAGTCGGGTGGTGTGAGTGCGCGACAGCGACGTAAGAACTGTAGGAAAGGTGCTGGATGTTCGGGTACACCATGGTCAGGCCAGGCGGTGAATTGTAGTTGCTTGATTTCGCGGCGCTCATTGAAGCCCTGACGACAAATCTGGAAGGTACGTATGCTATAGGTTGCCAACTCTTGGGTCTCTGTGATGGTGACAAACATTTGGCCGTAGGTTTCAGTGCCACGCACCGGCCAATATTGGTCACATTTGATGCGTGTGCGTTCCTCCAGGCGTGTCATCATAACGATAGTAGTCGTCTTTAGCTCCCAACACATACGCCAAAAGTCACTGAATGTCTCCTGCAGCGGTCCCTGAGTTGCCACATAAGCATTGTGTTTTCGATAGCCATCGCAGTAGTTGGCATTAATGTAGTCCGAACCGACGATGCCGTCCATCAGCGGCAATTGTACGCGCGAGTGGTCGTAGGCGGTTACGTTGGCATAGCGATTTTTCGATTTATTGTAATCATAGTTGGAGTTATCCCATGTGAACTGCTGGCCGGGCTCAATGCTCTCATATTCTTGCGAAAATTTCTGATTGTCATTCGCTTTGAGGCGTTCGATATGATTGGCAAATTCGGAAATTGGAATGGGCGGATGGGATATCATGCCAGGTGTTTGGAAGTTTAAGCGACGCATATCGACAGGATCACTTGGCGTGGGTCCGGCACCGAGGTCAGCGGCCATCAGTGGACGCGTGACGGCTGCCTGATCGGGTGTTTTGCATGGTTGACGACGACGTCGCACAATGCACCAGGTGATGAATATGGTGAAGATGAGCGCGGCAGCTACTGGCAGTGCCACCCACCACATGCCTTGTTCGTCCTTATTGCGATTGACAGAGACCTCTGGTTCGGAGGGCCAATTCGGATCGGGTCGGTGTGGACGTTCGCCGGGCGGCGCTTCACGCATATCCAACGATAGGAACTCAGAGAACGGGCTGGATGTGTACAAATGTTTTTGCGGTGTATCGACAACAGCGCGCACAAAAATTCGATAACGCTTGTCGCGCTCAAGCTTGCGGTTTGTAAAGTTGTGATAATCGTCACCAGAGCCCAGATGGAAGGTGAATGGAATGGAGCGTTGAGGAAATTTGGCAGCGATATAAGGCGAATTCGGTCGCTCAGGCTTGTTGCGTCCCGGCAGCAAATCTTCAGTTAAAAACTGATCGGGATTCTTGTGCAAATTCGACTTATCCTCAGGCACCACAACCAGATAGTAATGTGAAATTGGACCATACTCCTCGGAAGCTTGAGGCAGAATAACCAATATTTCTTCACCGTTCACCACACCATAGAAATCGGGCTTCACCATCGGCTGCGGCGCCGCCATTTGTGTGGTAACGGTTATCTTAGTAGGCGGGCGGTAAGAGTAGTCTGACGGTATGGCGCTCACATTCACATTGTAGGTGGTGAAGGGACTCAATTCATTGATCGTATGCGACTTCACATAATGCTTCAGTATTATATCACGTTTTTGCACAATTTGCGTTTGCGTGAAGCCCTGTGAATCCACGAATACTTTCATGGCATCAAACGAAATCTTGTAGTTGATCGGATTGAGTCGTATGGGCGGTGACCAGCTGAGTGTCATTGAATGTGTGCTGACATCGTGTGCGCGCAAATTCAGTGGTACATCCTCCGGCTTTATTTTGACTGTGACCTTTTCACTCAGCCGCCCTAGACCGTTCTTGAACCGCGCTGCTATCGCCACGGCATATTGCGCAAACTTTTCAAGATTCACTAGATCCGCTGACTCTGTCAGCCCTACAGTCTTTGTTTGCCATTCATCCAGATCTTCAACCGCCGTCATAGTGTAGAAAATTTTGTAGCCAAGCAGCTTGCCACGCGATGGCACCGGTTCCCACCATATCTCAGCTGTTTGCTCAGATGTTGCCACCGCTTGCACTGACATCGGCGCACGTCCCATATCACGCTCGGTTTCGACAAAGATCTTTTCACTAAATGGACCAGCGCCCTGCTTGGTGTAAGCGCGTACGCGGAAGATATACTCTGTGTTCTCCTCCAGATTTGTAAACACCGCTTTGCGCACCGTTGTATTTCGCTCCGAACCTAAACCATGATCGATTTTCTTATGGAATTGCACATCGTAACGTGTAATGATGCCATTGCGGTGCTCACGAGTGGGCGGATCCCATGTAACGCACACTACATCTGGCGTTTGGAAGCGCACTGTTATATTTGCCGGCGGTCCACCTGGTGTGCCCTCGGGAGTTTGGAAGATTTTCACTGTCTCTTGACCGATGCCGATGTGATTGCTACCCGCCACGCGGAACTCGTATTCAACACCACGCTCCAAATCATTGAAGCGACGTTTTGTAATCTGTGGGCCGGGTAGCATTTCCTCTTTCAGCGGTTGATCTTTAACGCCCCAGCGGAGACGATAACCACGCAGTTCACCATAAGTTTGCGCCGGACGTTCCCACTCGAGTTCGATGGATACAATTGGATCGCGTTCCATTATCTTTAGGCTGACTGTGGGTCGCACAGGCACACCGCCTGGCGTTTTTACGATCACGGCAGCGCTGCGATCACCATCACCCTTACGCGTGAGTGCGGCCACTTGTATGGAGTATTTTGTGTCAGGTTGCAGGCCAGTTACATTGTACTCCAGCGTATCGACAACGTCGAACTTAAGCGGTTCGTTCAGGAAGCCCTTGCCCTAAAGGAGGAGAGAAATGCATTGTTGACAAATTTCATGATATAAAAATTGCAGACAAAATTAGACAGGCAGTGAAGTTTTTCATAACGAGAGATTGCTGTAAGAACGGCGAAAGCTAAACAAACATCAAATGGTATTTCGAAAAAAGCCGATACCGGACAGGTAGATGGAAAGATTATAAGCTACCAGAATTTCGCTTGCTGACTGAGTTTTAGCCGCTGTAATCTTAAAATTCATGCGATAATTGACGAAGCCTAATAAGAAAATGCTGTCATTTGCAAAACTTATCTAACGCTTCTGACTCTGAGCTTCTTAATGGATTAGAAGGTATAATAACGGCTCTTATTAAACAAGGTGAAACCAGTCAAAAGTAGCGATAACAGGGTTCATGAAGTGCAAGTCATAAAAGGAGATTATAGAGAATGACAACCTTGTGTCTGGCTCACATTCATAAGGCTCAATAAGTTGGTTGGCGGTGGGACCCAGCCTACTCCCGTGGTAGTCGCCACCTAAGACAGGGACGCCTTTCTTGTGGATCGGACAGAGTACGCTTTGCGAATATCAAGAAATACTAGTCTCAGTTACGCCCTATAATTTGGTATACACCAAGGCTCAAAAATGCCTCACAGCATTCGAGTTGGAGCCTTTGTCAAAGAACAAAGATCTAAGTTTGGATGGGTAGACTTCTTAGTATATTAGAAGCCGAGGTTCAGGCCATAAGGTACCGCACCCTTCTTTCCAACGAAATAAATTCTTCATTGGTTCTTGAGATACTAAACGGCTTAGCGGCAATCAACAGGATCTTCATCTTTTGGATTCCAAGCGACAAAGGCTTAGAATGTAATAAGAAAGGCAAACAGGCTTGTATCAACGCCGATAGGCTCGAGCGCTTCTTTGTAGTAGAAACACACACCATCAGAGACGAGAGAATAAGTAGAGAACAGCACTGGAACCAAACCACTGGGATGCGACAGACAAATAAGCTAATAGGTATTTGAACAGGTGATTGCAGATTAAAAAGTCACCTATATAAATTCGGGATCTAGTCCAACGATTTATGCCGGTTCTGTGACAATTCACCTGAAACTTCTGAGCACATACGCCTCGAATGCGATGCTGTAACGAGAAGACGGAGAAGTACGCCTGGTCAGGTGTTACAAGTCGTGCCCATCTGATGCTCTTAATGTGATCCTGCCGATAGAACTTCACTTCCGCGAAACTGCTACGTCCTCGGAAATTAGAATCAAAGAGTCAGGCTGCTGCAGAGCGCTGCGGCACGGTCATAGTGGTATTCTTGACAAGTTTATCAGCTTCAGGACAAGCTTTCAGGTGAAGTTTCCTTCTAGACGGGATTGGATTAGGGGCAGGATAGTTGAAGGAAATTCCACTGAAATCTATACTGACTGGTCCAAAATGGACTGCGGTGTGGGTGCGGGGGTGTTCTCTGAAACGTTGAATTTTTTTCTCTCGTTCCGACAACCGAACTTTGCTAGCATCTTCCAAGCAAAAGTACTGGGAATCGAAAGATAGCCATGGGGCTCTTCTGGCACTTGCCTCCCCGGTAACAAAGTCTAAAACGATCAGAGATGGCAAATGTGCGTTAAGCTCGACGGAACATTAGAGGGCTGATGAGTTGGCTAAGGACTGAGTATCTCTTGATGAATCTGAAGCAGAGGCAATAAACTTTCCACTCGACTCATCAAAAGGGAACTGCGTCTGCAATTCGCAGTATGGCTGATGCTCGTTGGAACAACCTTCAACTTGGCAAAACTGCTAGGAACATATGGCCGCATTATGACAAACCAAAGACAGAAGAAGAGATCGAGGAAAGGTATACTCAAGTTAACAGCCACAATAACGGGCCATTGGACCATTGGCGAAAATGCAGCCAAAATAGTTCTTCCGTACAACCCTCGGCCCCGTAGCTGTAATCTTGAGGAAAGTAAGGAAACCACCACAATCTCGATGAAAGGACTCTTCTTGGATATTGTGTGTCTCAAGTGCCCAAAATATTGATTCTTCAGTAGCGCGTAGAGAATGGATCTCGTATTTAGCGATGCCGAAAGCGTTAAGGTGAACTAAAGAAAAGTTAATTTCTAATACCGATTCTTTTTTTATGCATATTTACGTTTGAAATATACGAAAATTGTTGTAGATTGTGAGGACTAAAGTTATTAGTAATTTTTTCCATAAACAAGAGTCGTATACTATGTTCACGTTGTGCCATAAACAAGAGTTTAAGCGTTTGTGCTTATGAACAACTGTCAAGTGTTCTCATCAGGATGTATAGGACACTAAGAGTTTCATTTGACATTTGTTTGTGCACTTTTTCTGATTAACATTGTCAAATTCTTTTTGTGAATTGTCAAAAGTCAACAGTGCGGCTGAAATTCGACAACCGTGCTGCCAAATTTAGTCAATAAAAGGGTTGAATGTCCACAGTTACCAAATAAAAGTAGTCTTGGAAACGAGTTAAAGAAGAATTTTTTGTACCGCAAACTCCGTGTTTATGAGTAGTGTTTTAACGTTAAATACCAAAATGCCCCGTAAACTCGTGTTTATGGCGCAATGTGAACATTCTATTAAAGTCTATGTTTACAGTAAACTCACCTCGTCACGCATTTCTTGTACGTGTATATGATAGCCACGTATAATGCCATTACGATCTTTTTCCAATGGAGGTTTCCAGGTAACATGAATTGAAGTTGAATTTAATGGAGTTGCCTTCACATCTTGAGGATCTCCAGGCACTAAACGTGTTGTAGGGAATAAATTTGTGCATAAGTAAAATGTAAGAAAATATATTGCAAAGCTGTGAAATTGGTACAACTAGCGACTTAAGACTTAAGTAATGAGTCTGACAAATACGTACATACTTAGCAGTTTATTATATACATATGTAATACTGATGCACTTAAAAGTAGACTTACTTACGTAAATGTATAACTAGCTTATTCAAATAACTAGGAATTAGGCTAAGGTTTTTAAATGTAGGTAACGTTTAGTATGGGACCATATTTTTTTTACTAGGAAATTTTTCTCATACCTGAATTAGGTACAAATAATACTTGTCACATATTTATATTTCGATATAAATAAATTGAAATTAATATTTTTTAATAACAAGGGCTTCAATAAATTGTTTTTTTTTTTGTTTAATTTTCACTGAAGAATTAAAAGATTTATAAATCGGATATGTTTTTTTTTTAATTTTGCTGTAACTTTTTCGGTGACAAGGTCATCATCACATCAAATAAATATATTTTTGTTAATCGATGAACAGCTGTTGTCAATTAATTAGTGAAAGTTTAGTGATGGGGTAGAAAACTTTGCTAAACTTACACTGAGAAATTGATCGTTGCTATTTTAGGGTAAAATTTTTAAAATTCACAAAAAAAAATTCGCAATGCTAAAAATATAATTTATGGCCAGCCTTAAAACTTAAAAGTGAAAAAATCTTCTTGGCAAAAAATTAGGAAAAATGCCTTTTTATTTCATGTTTTTTATTTTTCCAATATATTTGGGGTTTTTGGATTTTGCTTATAAAATATCATGGCCAGTAATTCAGCAAAAGTTTACTTGGGACTACACCACCCTGAAAAAAAATTTACAAATATTGTCGCTTAAAAAATTGTTCATACTTTTCAGAATCTTTCCCATTCAGAAATTCAAAGTGACAGCAGTTAGAAGTGGCAGCGGTAGAAAAGCGCCGAAGGGCGGAACACCTTTTTTCGAACCGGTGTACAAGGTATCTGATCGGATTTGGCTACAATTTTGATCACAAATTTTGTATACCGCGGATTTTTTAATTCGATGTCCCTTTCTAAAGTTTTAAATTTAATTAGCTAAACGTCCTCATCAAAATTTAAGTCGCGTTGTTCAAACCACTGGGAATAAAAAAAAAATTAGTTTTTTCCCTACGTAGCGTCAGAAAAAAAAACATTTTTTTTATACCACCGCTTTATAAGTAATTATTATTTTTTAATTATTCTTAAATATGTATGTATGTATGTAGGGCCGTTTTCTCAAGTAGGATTATTTATCTTCTTTTTAAATAAAAATTTTGTGCTAAAAAAATGTGTTTGAAGGGCAGATAAATTTTAAATTTTGTCAAATAAAAGTTTTTTTTTATAAATTTCATACCTGCGTTTGAAAGAAATTAATTTTTTAGCATATTTTTTGGACAGTCAGGGTGGTGTATCCCCTTTATGAGGTAGAAAACATGCCTAAACTTACACCGACAAAAGTATAGATACAATTTTGTAAGAAAACATTTTTAAAACTCATAAAAAATTTGGCAAATTTTGAAATATAATTTTTTACTTTAAAATATTTAATAAATAATTGGGAAATTTGCATTTTAATATCAGGGTTTTCATTTCTCCAATATCTTCACATGACGTAGATAACATATGCTAAACTTATACTAAAAATTGGGAGGAAAAAAAACTTTTAAAGCTTTTTTTTTACGTGAAAGTGGAAAATAATTTTATAAAAAATTGGGACGCTAGCATTTTAATTTCAGGTTTTTTATTTCTCCATTATCTTCAAACATGAGATAGAAAACGTGGCTAAACTTACACTGAAAAATTTATCGTTGCAATTTGGGAGGAAATAAATTTTAAAACTCATAAAAAATTTTCAATATTAAAAATATAATTTATTGCCAGTTTAAAAACTAAGAAGGGGAAAAAAACTTATAGAAAAAATTGGGAGATTGTGCATTTTAATATTTGGTATAAATTTCACCAATATTTTTTTCTTCGAAATTTTCCGATTTTGCTTATAAAAATATCAGGGTTTCAAAAATTAGTGCGCTCAAAAATTGTGGAGCACTAAAAATTGCAGTGGGCTAAAAAAAGGGTTATTTAATAACATAGCATTAGCCAAAAATTATTAAAAAGTGCATTCATATTTTGTATAATATAATTTTTTTATACGCTCATAAAAAACTAAAACATATTTGCATAAGCCAAGAAAAAAAATACAAAATCTTCAGTGCTTTCAAAAGTGGTGCTTTTTATTTGTGCAAAAAAAGACATTTAGCATACCGAAGATGTGTTTAAAAATATATTTACAAGAGCAAATGTACAAAATGTCAAATTTGAATTATAGACAAATATTAAAATAAAACAAAAACTTTAAATTATTAGCAGAAAGGTGCAAAAAACATACAAAAATTATGTAACCGAAAACCAGCTTTCACAAAAAAATGCAGTGAAGCCGCTATTATATGCAAAAAAAATTTGGTAAATGTAATAAAAAGGGGTTGCGTGGTTTTTTTTTCACAAAAAAACAAAATATTTTAAGAAAAAATGTTGCTAATGCATCCAAAAATTTATTTTGCAAAAATTGTGCATTATTATTTTTTTCCTTTCAAAAATAGTGCAAGTCTCTTAGAATCCTTTTGCTTGCTTGTTTTTAGTGAGGCGTAAGAACCCCGCTTTCTTTGTAGAAATAGAGAAGAAAAACACTTAACCAAAATACAAAAAAGAGATATGTTTTTAATTATTATATTTATGCTGTATAATTTTTTTTTTAGTGTATTAATATTTACAGATTTTTTTAAATCATTTATAGACACATTCTTAAACATACCTATTTAAATACTTACAAGTAACTTTATCAAAAATTCAAATACAATTACTTGCAAGAAGTATGTGATTTGTGTGGTTTGAAACGTGTTTTTTTGTACGGTGTACTCAATGTAGGAGCGCACGAGAGCGTAAGTGGCTGTATACGCGCTGCTCTCACAAATGCATTTGTGTGCTAACGTGGTTTTTTTCTTGTATTGCACAGTGTACAACTAAGTGCGTGATTTTTTCTATTAAATGGTGCTTATCAAAAATTAAAAATGCATTCCTTAAAAATTGCATTTTTTCATAAAAAAATTTTTATAACTAGATTTATGAAAAAAGTGCTTCAAAATGTCAAATACTCACTTTTCTTGACTAAGTTTTTATTTTTTAAAATTTCGTAACAAATTTCATAACATCATCCATTGAAAAGTGCGTTGCGTACAAGAAATTACAAAAATTGTGCAATTTTGGTGCGTTCAAAAAAGTTATTTCACACGCAAATACACACAGTAATACACCGAGAAATTTGCATATATATCACATAAGAACCGAAAAACATTTGTGCATTTGCAATTTGCAATTTTGTGCGGTATAATCCAAAAACCGCACGCAAGTCAAAAAAGTGCGTTTGGTTAGTAATTTTTTTTTTGGTCGTTTGATTACATTTTTCAATCACAAGTCAAAGACGTTGAGTGGTGCAATAAATTGTAGTAGCGAGTGGCCAAAAAATATGAAAGAAAGAGAGAAAAAAGAGAAACATTTCCTTTCGGTTAATACTACCATTCAGTTTATGCAAAAATTCACTGAATTCGTAGATAACAACTAAAATGTTAAAAAAATAATAATTTTCAAAAATTTCATGTTATTACGATTATTTCGTACGTAGACGCGATTCGAAGTGGAATTTGGGGCAATGCATTAGTTAATATTTGTTGGCACACTCGCTCTCTTTGATAACAAGGTGAAAGTGAAAAAAGTTTTAGAAAATTAAAAGAAAAAATAATTAAGTTAAAATAAATAATTAGCAGTTAAAAAAAATTCACTTTAAAAATAAAATTTAAATAAATAAACATGATTGGCACTCACTGGAAGGCGATTTCAGTTTTGAGTCAAGCAAAAAATGCAACACTGCATAAGTAAGCAACAAGCACTTAAATGCTCTGATTGAAAACAAAAGTAATTATCATGTTATTTTACTACCATATGTAAAATATTTTTGCATCCTGGTATTAAGAGATATTTATGACACAATATAGAAAAAATTCTACTAATTTGGAAATGGATTGCAAAAAATGTGAGGAAGGTTTACTAATTTTTGATTCGGACGGAGTTCGCGCTATCAAATTTAAACGTTGAAACTGGTTACGGAGGTTTATAGTTCCCGCCGAATCATATAAACCACCTGATTTTCTAAAAAACGAGAGGCTACAAGAAGAATAAAAACTACGCCTTCATCTACATAGTTATGTACCTTTGTATATACATACATATGATCTTCACGAGAGAGATTAAAAACGCTCACAGTATCATCAAAATTTTGCTAAAAGGATTATCGGAATATTTAATTTTGGCAAAGATCGGGAATGCGTTGATTAATGCCGAAGATCCCTACTTGCTTTTCTCGACAAAACATAACTAATCAATTTTTACTGGCTTCCGGGACAAACGTTAGGCTTGTCACGGGAATACTAATGGAACCATGGCCATTGACTGATGATTTCCACAGAAGCAGTGGAGACAAACTCCGAAGAAAGCGCCTAAAATTTCTGGAAGACAAGTTTATCGAGAGCTTGGTAGCTTAGGGAAAATCTATTCGAGAGCCTGCTAGGATTCGCTACAGAATAAGGATGGTTTAAGGACATATATATTCTCTTCTGTGGCATCTCACTGCTGCATGCATAATCCAACCCAATCATATGTAATCATGTGCTGTAGGGCTGAGTAACTCGGAGAATTTTCAGGAGTAGATTCTTTGACTCTAGCACATTTTGATTTACTTTGATTGAAAAGTTGCAGCCACAAAATATACAAACTTCGATACACATTTTTCGTACAACATAATTGAAGATCAGCAGTCACTTTTGTGTACTTAACGAGAAAACTTATCTTTGAATTATGACGTTTTTCCAGCAAACAAATGATATACACATAAAAAAACTCCTACAGCTTTT